GGATTTGAGAAGGTGCAGTAGCAGGAATAGCTTGTTTCGAGGATATTTTCAATCATTCTTTTATATCAAATAGCCTTCTTCTGGCTGGTTTTTGGCCTGTGCCTATAACGGCTGTAACGTGCTCTTTACAGCGAAGAATGTCTTTGTCAAACGACTTCCTAATTCTGTCTACTGCTGATATCGTGCCATCTTTTCCCAGACAAAGGCCAAGATGATTAAGACTGACAAATGCCTGAAATAAAATTATTTTTGTAAACACCTCGTTATATTAAAATTCAGTTTGTGACATTTTTGGAATGGAAGAGAGTATGAAAGTGCATATGAACGCAATGTTTCCAGGTAGTATATAGCTCGTGCACCATTCAGAATTTTTGTACTTGAATTTCTTAATTTAATTCGGGTCAATTCGAATTATTTTTTATCCACCATCCCAAGGTGGATTCAATTTTAATTACTTTGCTGAATCGAATTACTTTGTCCGTGTGAACGCTGTCGAATTAAACTAATTTGGTTTAATTCACTACGCAAGCCTGGAGCATGCACATATCATCATATTTCAGCGTATAACGCAAAAGTATTTATATAGTAATTCGATTCCGGTTGTCAATATCCCACGTGAAAGCGTCGTAAATGTAAACCGGATTATAATAACCGGCCCCACCAATCGAATAAAAAAAACAGATTACATTTTGCCTTGTAAACGGGGTATAGACTATAGGTCTACGTACACTGTACAGTATCTATATTCTAAATTCTACATTAAACCATACATCATATTACATGCATTACTCATTGATTAGGCATTACACACACGTGACACAGTAACGCAGATGGGGTCGTTGCCGTAACAGGTACTACAGATATATGTACCTGAGGTAGTTTTAGGTTGTTTAGTATTATTTTTACATTTTTATATGAGGTATGTTTAGGGTTAGGGCTAGGATTAGCGTTGCCGTTAGGGTTAGGGCTAAGGTACGCATCTCTGTAGTACAACTCTGGTACACTTTGTGTATACATAAATGTACCTCGGGTGCATATCTGTAGTACCTGTTACGACAACGACCCCTTGAGCCACAGTAACACACACAGTCACTGAGTCAGGACTCAGGGGAGTAGCCAGGGCGGAAAATTAACTCAGGCACATTTTGTGTGTGAGCTATGCTAAGGCCAGGGTCTGGAGGCATGTCATTCACTCATTGCACAATTCACAACTTCAACGTTTATTATTCAACGTTCAATTTTCAACTTCAACGTAATTATTAATTTACATAAAAATTAGACCTCTAGCATATAATTACGTTACTACGTATACACTGTACTTGCAAAATTCTTACCTTTCTAACACACGACGTTCTCTCTTCAAGTTCAAGTTCAACTCGTCCCTTTGAGCGGGTAACCAGCTAGGGTGCACTCCATAGCAACCATAGCAACAGTACACACAGGCTACTGAAACTAGACTACTGATTCAGGCTACTACTTATTATTAATTATTAAATAGTAAAAATATATGTAGTATACATTAATTCTGTCTACTGCTGATATCGTGCCATCTTTTCCCAGACAAAGGCCAAGATGATTAAGACTGACAAATGCCTGAAATAAAATTATTTTTGTAAACACCTCGTTATATTAAAATTTAGTTTGTGACATTTTTGAATGGAAGAGAGTATGAAAGTGCATATGAACGCAATGTTTCCAGGTAGTATATAGCTCGTGCACCATTCAGAATTTTTGTACTTGAATTTCTTAATTGAATTTTATACTACAAATTGATATAGTTCATGTACACTTCATACAATAAAACATAATATCAATCATTTCATAACAAAGGCATTAATGTAGCATAGTAAATTGTGATTTTGATAACCTTTATAATATTGTTCAAATCAAATGCAAGATTTACCCGTCGTGCAGTGCCCGACAACCATAGTTGCAGTCCAACCATCTCCTGCACGAGTCATGGTGGCTGGCTTGTGGGAAAAGGCTAGTTGGCCAATAATGCATCCCAACTTCGGTTGCAACGACGATTTCTTTGATGCTTGATTCCTAGCCTTAGGTGTGAGAGCAGCAACTAATGCGCTCACGAGATTGGGACACAAGATTTTTGTTTGGCTTATAGCCTTTCCATGAAAAGTTTTCAAATGCCGCAATGCCATCTTTTGTTTCATTTCGCCACAATGTTTTGTGTCTTGGATGGCAAAGATTACTGAATTTTTTCTTGACGATTTCAGACAAAACTTCCTTGAATGCAGAGCGGGCAGATTTTGAATTTTTCAATAAAATTTTAAATAAAATTGAGTAGCGACTCTGAAAGGTAAATTAAAGCGGTCTCTTTGAATTTGTTGTTTACTACTTGCTTAGCAGAACCTCGGGGCCTTGAAGGGATGCTACGTCTTTTGACAGCACTTATTCTTCTGGGAGTCGAGGTAACACAATGTCTTTTTGCATTGCGCGGTGTACAAGGGCTACTTAATAGCTTTCTACCAATATAACCCTTCGCATTAGCATAATCTTTAAGTTCTTGGCCCGATGAGAGCAATTGTCCGTATTTATTTACTTTTGTTATGCATGCAGGGCATATGAAACGTTTCTGATTACTTGGTGTGATATTTACAGTTTTATCCAAAACATCTTTAATACTTTCATTTTGTCGACTTAATTTTGATTCAATACTTGTTCTTTCGAAACGTTTTCTTTTAACTTGATATACGAATCTCTGTTGACAGATGTCACATAAATCAGAAGCCATCGTACTCCATGTTGGCATAGACTGGCGTCGATCGGTGGAACGCACGAACCCACGTGACTAAAATAATTTTCTCTAGCCCTCCTGCAGCGCCACAGATACAAGAGAAAACCTGGCTATTGTAAGGCTCGCTCTGATTGGTCTGATTGTGTTGTAAATGGTGAATGCGATTTACTAAAGTGGAATGAAGTGGGGTTTCTGAAAAACAATCTTTTAAGAAGTGAATAACGATTGAAGTGAATATGCACGCACATCAGTAGCAAGGTAAAGCCATGTAGAAGGGAATGGTAGGCTTTTTTACCCGCCGATACCGGCGTACGGGCCGCATTAGCAGCGCATGCATTTTGCATGCGATCTCACAAAATTTTAATGCACCCCGTTCTGTCCCAATAACCCTCACCAAAATATAAAAAAGGTTATCTGGGACAGAATTATTTGGTTTATACTGTACTATAATGTAACCGCATACATTAGCACGTAGTATGAGCGTACTGTACAACAAAACTCTTAATGTCTAGGCCTACAGCTATACAATATTATAACTCTGCATGGGCTAGAGAAGCCTTGATCTTTAGGAATGAGATCCTATCTTATGTTAACGTGATGTTATTGCGGAGACAGTAATTACAACGTACTTTATTACTTAACCTCTGAATGTTGCTGCTGCGCTGCGATGTGTTTACATGCATTGACCTTTGACATTATACCCATCATGCATTGCAATGTTGACAGACGATATAAACATTGCAGAAACGGCGGTGATGCCAATCATACCTAAACTAGATGAAATAGGCTGGCTAAAAATCTATGATGACTTAGTTTGTTCGTTCTAATGATATTTCTACTTAGCAGTAGTAGAATTACTCGCACTAATCGTAGTAATTATACTAGTATGCCTACCCGATGTTGAAGCATGATATGAATCTAGTGTATCTGCTCCCAGAATCCCGGTCCACGACTCTCGCTCCTCGTTTATTTTAAAATTTAATGATTCTTTCTGTTATTACGTTGATCTCAGCCTCGGCCGGCCCACCTCCTGTTTTCTTCAAGTCTCTTATTTATGGCACTTTCTTTCTTGGCCGCACCGCACATGTTTTTCCATTTATACTTCACATCTTCCGCTCGCACACTCCAAGACTACTAATTTGTCCTGCAATTTCTAGCCATATATTGTTTTTGATTTTGTTCGTGATGTCATTGGTAAGTTTTGACGATAGCACACCCTTATTTACTTCATACAACTCCACAAGCAGTGAACGTTTTTTCATTCCTTCCATTGCATCTAGATTGTTCGTCTGGCATCTGCTCTATTATTAATATTATAGGAATTATGGGATACTAATACTTAACTCAGGATTTAATTCATGTTTATGAAACCCAAATTTAACTCGGAGTTTACTAACTCAGAGTTAGCTTTAACTCGGGGTTAAAGTTAATCCACGACTGTGGAACTGATTCCAGACGACGCGTTTCTTTTCTTACATTCAAATCAGTTACCAATTACACGACGCACTGCAGCGTGTCCCTTCAGAACCCAAAACTGTTGCCGGAGCAACGAAAGCACATACACTGGTCCAGTGTCCTGCGATCAAATGATCATATCTAATGATCATGTCAGTCACATGATGTTTACTTGGAAGAATCAGTGGATGCTTCGTCTCATACAACAGTAAAGACTTGTCCAATCGTCCACCAACTCTTAAAACGCCATTGTCAAGAAAGGGACTTAACTTGTGCAGAGGCCTCGCTTCTCCTGTAGATCTTCTCAACTGAACACTGGCACCTGGTTAGGAACTTTCGAGGAGCTTCGACTCTTTCTGGAATACTTGTCTCTGAACATAACTAACAAGCTCTAGTTTTGCTTGGTTCAGTTCTTTCACAGAAAGTTGCCCATGTTTCAGCGACCAATCTCCTTTCTTAAGATACCGACTACAGCAGTACTTATTGAATCTCAGCATCCGAGCAACTGCTCTGACCAAGCCATTCCAGCTTGAGAACTGACTGATGAAGGAATCCAATTTCCCTTCCTGAGCAAGGAAACTACTGACTTGTGTCTCTCCTTCCATCTCTGGTTCTTCACTGGATTCACTGGATTCACTGGTTCTTCAGCCACTGTTGCTTGTTGCAGCCAAAAACTTTCCTCCAGCCACAGGAATTCTGGTCCTTGAAGCCATCTTTGGAGTTTTCTTGTGTTTTCTGGCGCCAAACCCCTTGATGCCAAATCTGCTGGGTTCTGATTAGAACTAACATGTCTTCATGGACTTGGCGACGAACTCTTCTGAATAACACTCACACGGTTGGCTACAAATGCCTTGAATCTCTTGGATTCGTTCTGTATGTATCTCAATACAACCATTGAGTCCGTCCAGAATAATGTGTTATGCACAGGAATTTTACTCTCTTCTTTGGTCTTCTGATCCAGACTTGCAGCCAATGCTGCTGCCATCAACTCTAGCCTCGGTATTGTAACTGCTTTCACCGGTGCTAACCTGGACTTGCCCATAATGAATGAACAATGCTTCGTCCCTGCAGCATCCACAAACCTGAAGTATGACACTGCACCATAGCCTTTCTCTGATGCATCTGCAAAGTGGTGAATCTGTACCGACTCCACGTTCTCAAAGTTTGACGGTCTGTAACAACGATCGATTGTCACCCCTGTCAACTGTGACAGACAATTCAACCACTTCCCAGTTACTCGATAACTGGCTGTCAATTTCTTGGTCCCATCCAAGGGTTTGCTTGCACAATTCCTGCAAAATCAACTTTGCAGGCAAAATAACTGGTGCCATAAAACCCAGTGGATCATATGCTGAACTGACCACTGAGAGGATTCCACGTCTGGTGACTGGCTTACTTTTCCTAAAAGCACCGATCTGGAATCTGTCGGTCTGCACATTCCACTCAACACCAAGTGCATGTTGCGCTAATGTGTTTTCAAAGTCCATATTCACAACGGAGGAACTTTGTTCTTGAACTGGTACCGTCTCTAATACACTTTGTTTGTTGCTAATCCACTTTGTGAGCCGAAAACCTCTGGACAGCAATTCTTGTAGCTGACTCACTAGTCTAACTGCTTTCTCATCAGATGAAACAGATGATCGATTTTAGACAGTCATCCACATAGAAATTCCGGAACACTGTACTGATGGTTTCACTGTCATAGTCTTGCATGTTGTCTTTAGCAGTCTTGCGTAAAGAAAATCCAGCACAGCACGGCGATGACGTTGCTCCAAATAAATCTACTCACAATCAAATACGACCCTAACCTTTCCTGGTTTCTTGGGATGAAACACCGGGTGGTGTGGCAGGTACCATATTGTTCTTTGAACAAGTGGTGAACCGTTTGCTACCTACTGTGCGTACCATTTAACTATGTAGTCCCCAACCACGGCAGAATATTGTTTAGAGGTCTTCGTCCCGCTCAAATTGTTATTTCAGTAGGCGTAGCTTCGCTTCAGCCAATAGACTGTTGTTTAGTAGAGTATCAGCACTAACGTCTGCTTGTCGCCATGGAAGTGGAATTTGGTAGTGTCCTTCATCAACGGCTACAGACTCCTCCATCATACTCAGTGCTTTTCTGTCTTCAACAGACATTGCATCTTCCGATTTGTTCAATGATTTGTCAACCTGGCGTGACAGAAGCTCGTCTTCATGTTTCACAAAGTTC